ATTTAATTTCTCTGTTGCCTTTGCTTCCATGTCTTGATAAGAGTTCCCTTTTAAACATACTAAGATTGAGATGATTTGAGATATTCCAGTGGAAATGTCAGGCCAACAGAATGTAAAGCTGGCACTGAGAAAAGTCCAAGTTGGGGATAGACATTTGGAAATACACAAAGTGGGATTTAAACCTGTAAGCATGCATACGATGACTGTATCAGCTTCCGGCCCTGCAGAAACAAGGACCACAAATCACATGACTTCACAACAGAGATTTATTTTCTCACGGTTCTGGAGGCTGAAAGTCCAAAATCAAGTTGTCAGCAGGGACGTGCTCCCTCAGGAGCCCCTCAGGGAGGACTTTCCCTTGCCTTTTCTGGCTCCTGATGGCTCCAGGCATTCTTTGACTTCTAACAACATCACTCCAACCTCTGCCTCCATCCTCACGTGGCCATCTTCCCTCTGTGTCCGTGGCTGGATTTCCCTCTTCTTATTGGGACATTAAGGATCTGCTCTACTCCAGGATGACATCATCTTAACTAATTACATCTGCAGTGACCCCATTTCCAAGTAAGGGTACATTTTGAGGTGCTGAGGATTAGGACTTCGACGTGTCTTTTGGGGGACACAGCTCAACCCATAGCAGTTACCTAGAAAAACAATGAAAAGAGAGAAGAGAGGGGTCCCAGGGCTTTGCCATCGTTTGGCAGTTGGATAGAGGAGGACACACCCGCAAAGGAACAGACAAACCATGAGCAGAGGCAGGACAAACATGGGGGGCGTGGTGTCGGGAAAACCCAGACTGCGTGTTTCAAAACGGGAGGGAAGAGTCACCTGCGTGGAAGAAATGTGGCCCGCGGCTCCCAGAGCTGAGAAGCTGACCAGTGGATGTGACATGGTCCCTGGTGACCTTGACAAGCGAGGCACTTAATGGGAGCGGAGGGTGGAGGTCCGGTTAGAGGAGGGAGACGAGCGGTGGAAACTGCAGGAGATGGGTCTTGAGAGAGTTGGCTTTGGAAGGAGAACAGAGAACTAGGACGACAGCTGCAGGGAGCGGAAGGGACTAGGGAAGGTTGGGTTTGGGTTTTGGTGTGTTTTGTTCTTGTGTTCTGCTTTATTTTTTTAAACGGGAGACGCCGGAGCACGTCTGTGTGCTTGGATTAGCTCTGTCGTCATATCTGTGTGCGTGGGCACCATGCACATGTTGTGTTCGACTCCAGTTGTCACCTGTGCTTCAGTGATGTCCTCCCAGCACCACGGTCCCTCGGGGATGGGTCTGCGCCTTCTCTTTCCTTTGTCTCCCACTGTCCTGCCTGACACGTAAGCATTTGTTCGCCGTGATCACGGCAAAAAAAAAAAATACCCTGCTGCCCACATCGCGGTACCGTGAATCACTGCCATGTCACTTTCTGACCGAAAATGGATGAAGAGCTATTTTCACAGACCCTGTTCATGTAACGTTAGGCAATAAAATCTATATCTGGTGTTTCTTGCCAGAGAACGTCACTGAAGTGCCCTCTGCATGACAGTCTTACTTGTTGGATTCTGCTGTGCAGATCATCAGGGAACAGGATCTGGGAAATGGGTTTCCAGAGATTGCCAGTGGCCTTATAGGGGCCCGAGAACCAGTTGATTAGCCTGTTAGAAAGGGCATTCCCGTGGTCCAGTCCAGAGATATCCCCACAAAACCAGACCAGCCTGTGCTGAGACCCGGCCTAGAGACTGGAGTGTCCAGGCTGCAGAGGGCAAAGGGACAGGTCATAGGAACGGGGGACAGAGGTGCGGAGATGCTCGATCCTGAGCCAGCAGCAGCCTGCAGAGAGAGGGGTTCTCGGGACCAGACCAGAAGTACTTCTCCTGGGATGAGGCCTGAGTCTGCGTGTGAGAGGAGGCAGGTACACACGCCTGACTCTAAAACAGGGAGGGCAGAAAGAAAAGCAAGTTCTGACACATGTGTAATAAAAGCATGTTGTTTTCTTTATAATGTTCTTTTCCCATATTCCCTTCTTTTCTAAAAGATGTGGTTTTAAAATAAACCAAAACCACTTCTGAAGAGATTGCATTGCTGGAGGCAACCATAATCTTGTCAGTTACACACAATGATCAGGTGACTCTGGGGGCCCTGGTGTGTGGGGGCGACGCTGGACACGGCGACCTGGGCCAGCTGTGGGACTGAGGCCCCATGATGTGTCGTAAAACCACCACCAGCATCCCCAGGGCATCAGGGCCAGAGAGCAAGGGCAGCCTCCTGTGTTTACAGGACATAGGTTTGGAGGAGACAGAGACCAAAGAGGAGGCAAAGTGCCAGGCAGAATGCCAGCCGCTGATGATGCCCAGCAGCCAGGGGACGGGGACAGGAAGAGCCATTAAGTAGCTCCGGGGCAACTCGCTCCGCCGCCCTCCACAGCAGCCCCTCCTCCCAAGCCTGGGCAGACCCAGCCCTGGGTTTTAGGACAGACCCAGCCCTGGGTTTTAGGACAAGTTCTCTTGCTGCCCAGACCATGCTGGGGGCGCTCTAGAAGCACCTGGCAGTGTGCTGACTCTCCAACCCCAAGGAAGTGAGGAAACTCCTTGGTGGGAGGGTAGAGCTCAGTGGTAGAGTGTGTGCTTAGCATGCGCGAGGTCCTGGGTTCAATCCCCAGAACCACAAACAAACAAACCTAAGCTCCCCCCAAGAAAACAAGTGATAAATTAAAAGACTTTTGTGACAAGACATTTTGGTTCTTATTTGTTTCATTTTTTCAATACCATTATGTAGAGAAGAAAAAGGAGCAATGAGAGCAGGTTTAAAACCAGAAGCAGGTCGGGGGATACTTGCTAAGTGGGGAGAAATTCATCTAGAAGTTCGGAGACACTGGAGGTGTTTCTGACACCACCCCCAGCCCCCACTCTCGGGCCAGGCGGGCGGAGGTAACCTAGACCCAGAGAAGCCCCCGGCACCCTGCACTCCCTCTCCAGGCTGCTGAAAGGGTGGGAGAGCAGCAGCTTCTTGCCTCGCTTAAGCAAGTGGGAAGTTTACGGAGAAAACAGCAGTTGGGCTGGTGCATTTCCGTCTCGGCAGAGTGCCTGGAGCCGTGTTTCTTAAAAACATAAACTGGGTTGGTATCTCATACTTTGAACGTGGTTCTCTCCAAAGTGTACCCTACCTAATCATGACCAGTTCCTGGAAAAGAAGAGGCACTCTGTGGTCTTTGGTTTTTGATTACCAATCAAATGTGAAATTTTCTCTTTGAGTTTAGGTGATTTCCTTCAGAAGCTCCAGCATGTAACCTTGTTTATCATGTGAAGGAACATAACTTCTACAGTTAGGAAAGGGTTGGTAATGGAATTCTGATTGATACCCAAACTAGGGGTCATGAACAAGGTTCCGTATTTGTAATAGTAGAGAACTTTTCAGATTACCTTTTTAGAAGCTAACGGAGAAAAAAAGTGGTGTTTCCTTGGGAAAGTGTGATACAGACTCCTAAAAGGGGATTGTTGGCATAAACAGATATTGGACTTAATCCCATTCTGGGTGGAGGCAACTTGTTCTATATATTACTGCAAATAGAATACTTGTACTTCAGAATTCCTTTGTAAAAACTGGGCACTCTCTAAAGGTTGGTTTCCTGGGTTTTCAGCTACAGAAAGTAACTCCTGAGCATCTCGAAAGTGGTCATTAGGTCTATGGCCACACCACCCTGAACGTGTCCAGTCTCATCTGAAGTGGTTATTAGGTCATCTGGCTGGAACGTAATGGTAATGAAGTCAATAGATGTGGTTCCTTGTGGGTCTGTTCCAGAACCACAGACTTCCCTTCATCTCAGCCAACCATCCAGCCAGGCTCTCTGCTGAGGGGGAGGACCAAGCCAAAAGATGGAGAGATCATTGCAGCCTTGTGAGGGAATGACAGGCCCTTGAGGGGGTCAGTCGTGGTACCAGGTCTGAGAGATGGGGTTTTATGTAGAATTCATAGACACAGCTGCCTGCATTTCCAAATTGCTAATGATTTTTTCCATTCTTCCCTTTCAGGGCCCCTGAGATCATCCTTGGTTTACCGTTTTGTGAAGCAATTGATATGTGGTCCCTGGGCTGTGTGATTGCAGAACTGTTCCTAGGCTGGCCGCTGTATCCAGGGGCTTCTGAGTACGATCAGGTGGGTCCAGAGAGCTCGGGTATTCACGGCAAGTCCCCCTTCTTTGTCTGCTTTAGCTCTTCAATTACTGCATGATGTGCAGATAGGGTTACAAGCTATTCCGCTGTCTCCTGAGCCTTGCTTCCCCTCGCCTCACTTTTCTTGCTTTATTCCTCTTTCTTTTCCCTTCTCCTTTGATTACTTCCTTCTCTCCCTATAAAATTGTCGTTTCTCTCGGAGACACTAGCGCCATTAGTATACCACAGGTACAGTGACAGGAAAAGCCCTGACCTCATCCCCATCTTTTCTTGCAGATTCGGTATATTTCACAAACACAGGGTTTGCCGGCAGAATACTTATTAAGCGCGGGGACAAAGACAACTAGGTTTTTCAACCGTGACACAGACTCGCCGTATCCTTTGTGGAGGCTGAAGGTAGGAAGAGCATCCCCTCCATTCCTCTCCAGCGCCCAGACCAGGGGAGAAGGGCCCAGTCCAGTTCGTGGGGAGCCTTAGACATCGGCACGCTGGCCCAGGATCTCCCTTTGATCTGGCCAGCAACACGGGGGAGGCGTGACTGTTGTCCATGCGTGGCGTGGATGAACTCGAGTGTTCAAAAGCACCGCTTCGTCGTCGGCCTGCTGAATCCCAGGCTCTGACTGCTAAACTCCCGAGATTTAATCCAGTAACCTTGATGGCCTGTCTGGTTGGTACCAGAGACAGAAGTGAAGCACCCCTTGCCTTCAAGGAGCTCGCAGTCCAGAGGGAGGCAGAACCTGTGTGGCAAGCTCCAGCCCCCAATCCCTGCAACAGGCACCCTATTCCCGGCAGGAACGGAGTGTGGGACCAGGAGGAAGGGAGCCTTTAATCCTGCTGTGGAGCAGGGAGGGCAGAGCTCAGTGGTAGAGTGCGTGCCCATCGTGCATGAGGTCCTGGGTTCAGTTCCCTGTACCTCTGTTAAAAATAAATAAACCTAAATTACCTCCTCCCCCCTATTAAAAAAAGAAAAAAGAATTTTTAAATCCTGCTGTGACAGAGGGTCGGGGAGGAGCATTTGAGTTGAGCCCTGAAAGATGAGGCGGGTCTTCCAGGCAAAGGGTACAGTCTGAGCAGCCTCGCCTCCCCGGGCTCCAGGGAGGGGGCTCTCCGTCTCAGCCAGCAGCGGGTGCGACACACCATATATTCAGGTGGTTTTACTTTAACGGAAACATATTTTGCTTTCACTTTGATCTGTGCCTAGTAATTAAAATTAACTTTTTTTTCCTGGGAAGGAGGAAATAATATGTCTTAAGTGTGTTTTATGTTCATTTTAGGTGTTTCTCCTTTTTTTGCACCAGTGTGGGTGGATTTTTTTTTTTTTTGGATAGAAACCACAGCCAAATTGTAATACATTTAAAGATAATATGTGGCCAGTGGTCACAAAAGGTTTAGAAAAGAGATTGGGATGTGAAGCAAGCATCTTGGGCTATTGACGGGAGGCCGGCACTGGGCAGCTGTGATGGGGAGTGGCTCAAGGTCAGGTCCAGGGAAAGAGAGTCCTGGGGAGAGGAGGCTGAGGCCGGGCAGAGTCAGGGTTCACTTCTGCATCTTAGTGAAGAGCCTCAGACCTACTTGCCCAGTCATTCCTAGATCTTAGCAGCTCCAGGTGTGCTGTCGGAGAGTGATTTGAAGGATTAATTACCTGTGATCCATGGATGAGACGGAAAACCCATAGTAATTGGAAACAGCTGTTTCCTGGACCGAGGCCAGTGCAGGAACTGGGTGTGTGTGCCCCGGGCCCGGGTGGAGGGGGCCCACGGAACAGACTCCAGAGCCGGCTGTCACTCCCTGGCCGTGTGACCTTGGCAAGCCCCTCTAGCTTTCTGTTCCTGTCTGTCCCTCTGAAAAATGAGCTGGTAGCCATCCCACCTAGGATGATTGTGAAGGGTGTTACATGCATTCACGTGCTTTAGAACAGTGCCTGGCACATAGTGAGAGCTCTGTGTATAAGAGCTTGATAAATAGGATTAAATTAAAATTTTTAAATGTGTGGGAAAGGCCTGCTTTTCCACATATGGAAGCTGGTCTTGGCCCTTAACTTGGGGAAGCATGGAGAGTGATGGGGGGGTGGCCTATGTTGCTCAGCTGGGAGTCCTCCAGACCCGACTCAGAGCAGGCCCCCGACAGGTGTTCGTGGGAAGCACGGAAGGAGGAGGGATGAGTCAGTGTGGAGGGTGAAACGCGCAAGTGAGTAGTGTGCAGGTCACTTTAAGAAGAACCCTAGTCTCCTCTGAGAGATGGGAAAGAGACCCTCTGCGAGAAGCAGAAGCTGGAGGGTTTGAGTCACAGTGACGAGGAAGTAATTCACAGTAACCAACGGGCTGTTGCCTCTCCTGACCAGACACCAGATGACCATGAAGCAGAGACGGGGATTAAGTCGAAGGAAGCAAGGAAGTACATTTTCAACTGTTTAGATGATATGGCCCAGGTAAGCTCCATGGGTGAGTATGCAGTGTTAGCCCTATGAAAACCACGCACGGCAAGACTTCTGCAGGAGTCATAGAGGATGCGGGTAGAAATCCACATTACTCAGCTGTGGAGGTTGACCTTGACCTTAAACAATCATATACCAGCCTTAGTAAGAATGCCAGTGGGTTTGTAGAACCTTTTTAAAACCTTACACCAGCTGTTTAAAAATAGCTCCAATTTATTGGTTCCTAATTATAAAATAGAACCGGCCAGTCTTTCTGATTCTTCAGGAGAAGAATTCAAGCCCATTAGTACATTTCAGTTTCCTGCCAGTGATTAGTTGCCTCGGGCTGCGGTAACAAGGTGCCACAGGCTGGCTGACTTAAGACAACAGACATTTATCCTCTCACAATTCTAGAGGCTGGAAGTTTGAAATAGAAGTACCACCAGGGCCGTGTTCCTTCTGAAGGCTCTAGAAAGACCTGTCCCATACCTTCCTCCTAGCCTCTGGTGGCCCCTGGCAATCCTCAGGGTCCCTTGACTTGTAGCTGCATCCTCCCCATCTCTGCCCCGTGTTCCTCTTGTCTCTGTGTCCAAATCTCCCTTCTTTCTCTTATAAGGACAGCAGTCATTGGCTTTAGGGCCCACTCAGCTCCAGTGTGACCTTCACTTGACTACATCTGCAAAGACCCTTTTTCCAAATAAGGTCACATTCAGGGACCAGGGATTAGGACTCACATCTTTTGTGAGAACACAGTTCAACCTACTGCAGTCGGTCCTCTCAGTTCACTGGAGGGACCGCAACCCTCACGTTTGTGCTAGAGAAAATCCTAGAACTTCAGCTATTTTCAGGGCAAAAGCTGGTGTAAAATCAGAGCAACCCAAAGTGGGTTTTTCTTCAAAGCAACAAGAAATAAAGCTACAGACCAATAAACACTTAGCATACCTCTTACTGAAGAGAAGTGTAACAAAAATTCATGATTCTGAATAAAGTGTACTTGTCAGTTGATAAGAAGCTTAGATTGTCTGCAAAAACTGAAATTGGCTTCTAGCACATGTCTTGGAAGATACAGCAAGCACCACAGAACAAGTTACTAAAGGCCATCCTTGTGTAGACTTGCTCTTGGAAGAAAAATCCTGTGTTCAGATCTCCTGCTTGCTCTGGGCACAAGTCATCCCAGCGAACACAGGGACGTCAATAATGCTGGCCCTAATCCAGGGCGCAGCGAGAGGGCAGATAAGACCGTAGGGGTGGGAAGACGGCACCGAGGCCCTGACATCTCCCTCTGAAGGTTCAGTAAATAAATCTTTTTGCATCTTACTTTTTACTGCTTCGTTGTCATTGCTTTTAGCCGTGGTAAAACACACATAGCATAAAATGTATCATTTAAACCATCTTTACATATACAGTTCTAGTATTAAGTACCTTCCCGTTGTCATGCAGTCTCCAGAACTCACTTCATCTTGTGGTTATTTTCAATGAGGTGTGATGTGAGGTGCATCTCAGCGGGACTGATGAAAGCAGGAGCAGGTACTCCCGTCACTCACGTGTGCTTGTGGGCACCAGCAGTGGCCCTCAGCCTCCCCTGCACAGAGAACAGCCACATCCTGTGGGCAGTAATAGCACATGGCAGTGCCTCCCGCAGGGCAGACACGGCCTTGTGGGAACTGGGAAGCGGTGACTGAGAGATGAGGATGGAGCGGCAGGCGGAGGGGAAGGACGTCGGGGAGAGTAACCTGTCCCCGCTTACTTCCAGGTGAACATGACAACGGATTTGGAAGGGAGCGACATGTTGGTAGAAAAGGCGGACCGGCGGGAGTTCATCGACCTGTTGAAGAAAATGCTGACCATAGATGCGGATAAGAGAATCACTCCGATCGAAACCCTGAACCACCCCTTTGTCACCATGACGCACTTGCTCGATTTTCCCCATAGTACACAGTAGGTGTCCCCCTCGGTGCTTTATACCCGGGGTCAGCAAACTTTTTCTTTAAAGCCCCAGACAGTACATATTTTAGGCTTTATAGCCATACAGTCTGTCACAACTCGGCTCTGCTGTTCTCGCTGAAAGCACTGTAGACAATGCAGAAACCCGGGAGCCAGGCTGTGTTCCAACAAAACAGTATTTATCAAAGCAGGTGGCGGCCAGATCGGGACCCTGGGCCGAAGTTTTCCTGACACCAAACAGGAGGGAACAGAGGAACCAGGAGAGGGCACAAGGCTGCGGGGACTAGCCCCCAGGGTCTGCGTGAAGGGAGGGGCGCAGAATGGCAGCGTCTGGGAAGCAAAGCCACTTTCAGTGCGGAGGTCGCTCCCAGATCCGTGCTGGAGTGGACTCGGTCTCGTTTGGATCCGGGTCTGTTCATTCATTCGTTCACTGTGCTGTGTGCAACGCCAGGTGCCAGGGTAAAGCAGGGGATAGAGCAGATGGGCCCTGCCCACGGAGCTTTCAGTCTATAGGAGAGAGAAAGGACTAAACCGGCGACATCCAAATAACCAGGCTGTTGTCCCGGGGCACAGAGGGCGAGGAGAGCAGGTAACAAGGGCCCTCGTGTAGGGCAGGGCAGGGCAGGGAAAACCTGAGGAAGTGATGAAGGAGAGTGAGGGGCACCTGGTGGAAAGGCTGGCAGAGCGGAAGGGGCATTGCCATGTGGAGACCCCAACACGGGCAGGTCCGAGCACGAGAGCCTGGGACAGCGAGAGAGATGAGGCCCCAGAAGCCGGGAGCAAGGCTTCCACCTTAGGGATTTCGTCTTTCTCCTAAGAGCCGTGAGAAGTCAGGAAAGGGTTCTTGTGCAGGGGAATGGCTGGTGAGTTGTGTTTAACAAAGATCTGTCTGCCGTCGCTTGATCAAGTCAAATGATGCTGGAAAAAATGCCCATCAGATTTGGCAACTTGGAAGTTGGTAACTTAGGGAGAGCTGTCTCGGTGGATGGTAGAAGCAGAAACCAGTTTAGCAGGTTGCAAGACTGAGTGAGAGGTGAAGAAACAGAGAGCACCCTTTCAAGAAGGAAGCCTGTGAAAGAGGAGGGAAGAAACAGAGGGGTGACTAGGGAAGGCCCAAGGGGGATTTTCTTTTAATGTGGAAGAGACCTGAGCAATTTAAGATGCTGATGGGAAGTGTGTGGTAGCAACTGAGAGAACAAAGATAAAGGATGCTCAGAAGGTGTTTCCCAAGGTAGTGGGAGGAGCTGGGATTCAGAATGCAGCTAGAGAAACAGGCCAACATCACAGGAAGGGTGGCTGGAAGGGCGTGTGGCTGTCACGGATGTGCGGATGACGTCAGTGGGGGAGGGTTGAGGGAGTAATTCAGACAGCTGCTGTCTCCTCCTTGGGATCAAGGTGTTGCTGGTTTAAGGAGGGTAGAAAAGTTTACACAGCAGAAGGTAGCAGAACAAATTGAACAGAGAAATACAGCAGACTTGTTGAGCATGGAGGTTGGACATGAATAGCGTGGGGTGTAACTGAACTCCCCAGGTGAGGCATGGAGAACACGGAGAGTTGGGTCCACCCAGGTTGGAGTTTTGCTGGGCTGCTAAGAGAAAAAGACTGACACAGATTTATGATGCTGGCATTGGAGCAATCGTAGCCCAGAATGATGGCTGTGGGAGGCTTAGCTAACAAAGAAAGGAAGTGAAGATGGGAGGGTCCAGAGAGACGGAGTGGTCTGATCAGCTCCAAGAATGGTATTATTATAGTAATAGTCGAATAAGCCACAAGGGTGGGAAATGTGACCAGGGGACGGGATGCTTGAATTTGTGGTTGGGGGTAGTTGGACAGCCCAAGGAATCGGTGGCTGAAAATTGACATCTGGTCCCTGGAGGTGAGAAGGAACCAAGAAACCAGGATGTCTGACGGGTAATCAGTGTGACAGCTGCAGTGCCAGGTGGGCAGGGAGTGGGTTGGAGAGGAGCACTGAGCTAGTGGCCCAGGCCTCGGTGAGGGAGGGAGAGAGGAAAGAAGTGAGGCTGTCGGCCGGGAGATTAGTGGGGAGTGTTCGTCGGCCCAGGCCGCCGTGAAAGTGCTGCTGAGTGACTGAGTGTCTTAAACAACAGAGATTAATTTTCTATAATTCTAGAAGCCTGAGATCTGGCTGTTTGGCAGAGCAGGTGTCTTCTGTGGCCTCTCTCTGACTTACACATGGCTGTCTTCTCCTGTGTCTTCGCATGGTCTTCCTTCTCGTCTGTGTCCTCATCCCCCCTCCTTCTCAGGAACCGGGTTAAGGCCCACCCTAGTGACTTCATTTTACCTCTTTAAAGCTCCCATTTCTAAATTCAGTCACATTCCTAAGTCCTGAGGGGTTAGAACTCTAACATATGAACTTGGGGGGCACAGTTCAGCCCATAACAGAGGGTCATGGGAGAGAATCGCTTCAGCCTCTCAACCCTGAGGCACTTGGGATATGAAAGAATAAACGATCACATCGCTGGGTGTCTGCAGGAAGAAGTGGTGTGCTCAGGACAGCAGCAGGTTTCAGACAGAGGTCAGGAGGGGAAGGGAATACACAAGAAGAGGCTGGGGGTCCGAAACACCTGCAGATCACCGGTGGCCCTGCGATGACCAGAATCAAGTTGGGCCCAGTCTCAAGGCTGGATTTGACCTTAACATATGAGAAATGAGGGCGTGGCGCCCACCACGGATGGGGCTTCCTCTATTTTAGGTCTGTTCCCTATTAGCTGTCGTTGAGCAAGTCAAATCGTATTGCAACAAGCAAACATTGCTTCTTTACTTAGAAGAGGCATGTTGAAACAGCTGAACTCCAGTACAGGGAAGGATCTTGGACCCATCCCTTGCAAACTCTCGTTAGAGGATTTGTCCTGTTTCTGGGTGTGGTAGAGGTAAGTCAAGGGGCATCAGTCTGTACCACAGAAGAAAGGCAGATGTGGTGACTTACTGGATGGGGCTCCCGTAAGATCAGACTTTGTATATTCAAGGGTGCAGTGGGATGACTTAGAAGCGGCTCTGGAGGGGAGATGGGGGGTGCCACCTAGAGGGCTCTCGTTTGCCGTCTGCACTACATCAGTGAGATGGTCACCTGCATGAAGTCGGGGCCTTGGCTGAATGACCTCAGGGTGCTGCCTGTCTCTGCATCCGGCCAGGAAGCAGTGATAGGGTGCTCCACTGTGCGTGGTGAAGACCGAGCACAGAAACTGAGCGTCAGCTTCCAGTTCACAGCTTGGTGTGGGACCCCAGAGAAGCACTGACAATTCAGAACTCAGAAAACGGGCCCCTGAATGGAAGAGGGGTCTTTGAGCACACCCGGGCTTACCCGAGAGTGGGCCTAATCCCCAAGGGATCCTAGAACTGGCAGACCATGGAGAACTCTGGGGTAGGAAGAAACCTCGAGGCCCAGCCCCTGCTGTAGACCCCACTCTTAGGGCTGGGCCAGAGCTGCCCCAACATCTACGTTATCAGGTAGAAGAGACTGCACTTACTTCTCCACACCGGGATGCTCGTACATGAATTCCTTAGAAGCCGTTCTCAGAATCAACCCAACATGAAGGTGCTCTCCTTTAACTGAAACTAGAAACTCAGACCATTTCAGTTAGAAAATTCTGAGTCTAAAAGCTTTGTGTTGAACTGTCAGAAAACCACTGATGCATTAAACACAGTCCGAAAAGAACACAAAATCCATTGTTTTATTCCTTCAGCCTCCTGGTGAAGGCACTTAGCAGTGGGCTTGGGCCTCAGTGGATGCTCAAAACATGTCGGCATTACCAGCATCAGTGACAGTATTTTAGCCATTGGTTACCGTAGAACACGTTTCCCTCTGCCTCCAGGGTCACCAGTCAGTAAATGCTTATTCAGTGTGCGCTGTGTGGCCAGTGTAAATAGACTGAGTAAGATTAACTCAGAAAAAATGTCTAAGTCAGTTCAAAACATGTTTCATGGAGAGGATGCTTGGGGACAGCCCACGAGCACCTGCTTGCCCCGAATATAGCTGACCTATAAGATACAGAAATAGTATACAACTGTAATCTTAAAATAGTAGAATTTTGTATTCGATTATTACATTATGTGTAATTAAAATAAGTATTTTAAATTGAAATGTAATTGGGGTCTTATTATCTTCAATATTAGCATTTGAGGAAAAATAAGTTTAATTAGAAGACACAGAAGTGAATGAGGAATAAGGTATAAATCCTGAAGAACACCATAGGGTGGATTTTCAAGAACTTGGTCAAGGCCACGGACCACTTTCCTTTTCCTTCATGCTGGTGTCAGCAACATTCTTATACTTTACTTTCATAATTAGGGTTTGTTTTGATTCGTAAGAGAAAAAGAGGAAGAAAAAGAGGGAGATCATTTTTATTTTGTGTAACTGGGCAAGGATTAGAAAGGAGAAAGGAAGGATGAAGGAGGTTAAAGGGAATGTACACGCACACGTGAAGACAGCTGACAGGTAGCTAGCTGTCCACCTTGGCAAATTACCCAGCCTCTCTCTGCTTCATCCTTACTCGTAACATAGGGGCAACAATCGTCTGTCTTCCTCTCGTGGTTATTGTAGGACTGAGTGAAAGAGTGCTCGCAAACAACTACCACGCAATCAATAAAGTTAGCCACTATTATGAATTATTAATAGTATTGTTTGTTAATATTACTGTCTTCATTCCATGCACAATCCAGTGAGGTTGCAGTAGGTCAGGATGATGGCTTGACTAGTTCTCTGGCTGACCCCTAGATGGCGCTGGTGCTCCAGGGGAGCCAGAAAGGGCGAGCGCCAGGGGTTGTCTTTGGGGAAGGCAGGCAGGTCATAAACTGCTGTTTAATGTTCCCAATCAGAAAACTTACACGTTTGTTTATGGGCCAAGAAACCACTTTGAAAGCTGAGAATGAGCACTGAAGTTGGAGGCAGAGCAGCAACACGAGGAAATGCAGTGAGAGCCAAGAGGTCTGTTGTGCTATGGAGAAACTTTACCCACGCAGGATGGGGAGAAGAGGCAGTAAGACAGTGAGGGGGACCCATCTAAATGCCTCCCACTCTCACAAATGCACACCTTGCATGAGAAATCCAGGAAATTGAGACCTAAAGTTAAGTCTCCCGGTTGTCTTGTTTGCTAGATTAACTGTTCTCACCTTTTCTCCCTCCATTTTCATGTTACCCTCTTCTCTTCCCTGATGCCTCCTCTCTGTCTCTGCCTTTTGCATGAACAGCGTCAAATCATGTTTCCAGAACATGGAGATTTGCAAGCGCCGGGTGAACATGTATGACACAGTGAACCAGAGCAAGACCCCCTTCATCACACACGTGGCCCCCAGCACATCCACCAACCTGACCATGACCTTCAACAACCAGCTGAACACTGTCCACAACCAGGTGAGTGGGCAGCAGAGGGCAAGGCAGGTGGGGCTGACGGTGTGAGCATCAGGAATTGTATTTTCCCACCAGAGCTAGTCAGGAGACAAAATTCCTCCAGTACCATATACAACAGAGAAAAACCCCTCTGCTGTCGTAGTCAACTCTAGTGTTCACCTCCAAAGTCATTTCCTTTGAGAGGCCCAGGCCCTCGCTGTATTGACTCCTGGCCCCGTTGAAAGGTCCCAGAAATGACTCACTAAGGGAGGTCTTTCTGAGGTGGCACCTCTCACTGCTGTCCTCTGTCCCAATGTGGGACTAGGCTACAGGAGACGCTGTGGTCCTTTTACGTCCGACATCTGCCTGGTAAAGAATCCTAGAACTGGTAGGGATGCTGGCGGTCCCCCAGCTCAGGCCTCTGCTGGCCTCATCACCGCTGGGTCCACATGATCTCCTTTCAAGACAGATAAAACCTCCTTTTCCAAGTCTTAGGGACATTCAGTTCATCCGTCTTGTCACCAGAATCTCAGAAGTTAGAACTAAAAGGGACCACGAAACAGGTTTTCTTGCCACAGTTTTCCAACCTTTGAAAGAAAATTAGCAGAACCCAGCCCCTGACACACTCCTTTAAATACGGACACTGCACCCAGGGAGTATTTACTGAGGGGATAATCTCCCAGTCCTCGCTCCAGGCCGCCTCTGTACCCAAGAGACTCGGACTTCTACTCCGACCTTCCAGTCTTACCAGTTCCCGTAAGGAAATGTCCCTAGGTTTTTTCAGTTTTAATAGCAATCTGTAATGACAGCTCTGTGTGTGTGTGTGTGTGTACATACCATACACCTCCTAGGAGAGGAACATGTATGTTCTAATTCTAAAGTGTGACTACTCTGCCTAGCCAGCTCCTCTTTTTCGACAGGCCCCCGACTCCCACTGAAGAGTCATTGACCCCGTTTTTCTAGACCATTCCTGCAGCACATTGGGTTGCTAAGGCCCAGATCACCTTCCCAGCCTGTCCTCTCCCTCTGCTGAAGCTCTAGGAAAGGCCGTCTGGAATCTGCTGCCCCCTGGGGGCCATCGTTGTCCTTACAGCTCTCTTTAGCTGGAAGAGCTAACATGGCCTCCAGTCCAAAAAAAGCAGCATTCCCACCCAGTGCTAGCTCAGTCCTCAGGCGAAGGCAGCCACAGCATGTGAACTCTTTGACAGCGTGTTTCTGTGGTTTTGTTCTTCATCCCCAGCACCCTGTCACAGTGAGTGGACCACCTGGCGGGTGCCGTGAGCACAGAGTAGAAGATACACGGAGGTGGGAAGGCTGGCCTAACTGGAGGAAGGAGGGCTGGACCAAGATGCATATATAGTGCTCCTTAGGCAGTAACTGGAGATTTCTGAGCGGGGAGGGGGGGCGGGGGGATGTGTGTGACATGCACAAAGTAGTGTTTTGGAAAGAATGTTCTAGCCTCTGTGCCCAGGAAGAACTGGATGAGAAGTGGAGGCCAGAACATCACTAATCAGGGCCTTACAGGTCCCAGGCACCAGGAGAGAAGGCCTTGGCTAAGGAAGTAGCAATTGAAAAGAGGGTTCCAAGGACATGTGGAAGGAAGGAGCAGCAAGACCAGTGACTGACCAGGAGGGGGAGTAGTTGAGTACCAGCGTGGGAACCTGGAGGATTTGATGCCAGTGCCCAAAAGAGGGAAGCCCAGGGCAGTGAGATGTGAGGAGGGTCTGGACTTTGGCGTGGAGAGTCCAGGCAGGTAGTGGGAAGTTTGTTTGTGGGGAAGCCTCCAGGAGGGGTGAGGCTGTGGAGAGAACAAAGAGGAAATAAAGTCACGCCATCAGTAACAGGAAAGACACTGGCCCACACATGTCACACGTGCATTCCCGGTCACACCACCTGGAGTCCGACTGTGTGGTGCTGCAGAAACAGACACTTGTTTTTACAATATAGACATTAAAATCCAAACATGTGCACCACATAAATTAGTCATTACTTCCAAATTCTTTTGCTTTGCGCTGAAATTCAGCATAAAAGTTTTTTAAAAAAATCTAAAATGAGACTTTATCCTTTTTATCAAATCTGACACACATGCATACCCTCCTTGAAGCTCTAATTTTGTATGTGTCCCAGATACCCTGTGGCTCTTCTCCTCCTTGCTTTTTTAGTCCTAGGAACCTCTAGTGGCAAAACCTCGTGTAAACAATGTTGAATCTGAAGCCGTGGTAACCTCCACCTATCTTGCTAAAGGATCAGTGTGAAGAAGAGTAAGATGGAGTGAAGCTGGAGAATTCCCAATTTAGAATTTCTTTTCCTTCCATGGTCTTGCTTCACCCGGAAGTTCAATCTCAAATGATGTCTTTTTCTAAAAGAGAAAGGAGAGAGGACATAATTTCAATATTCATCTAACTCATCTCCATTTAAATTCTCTTGACCCACTAGCATCTTTTCTTCCTGGCTTCCAGCCTTAGTAGCTGAACACCAACATGAGAATGCACTGGACTCCAACAAGTAACCCCAGTCTCAGCGTGTCCCTCCCCGTCTGTTTTTCTGTAGCATGTTTCTTTGCAGCCATCTAAGGGCATCTGTAAACAGTCCCGCCCTTAGACCTGAGCCAGAGGGCCCCCTTCCCAAGCCTGACTCAGGTACACGTGCTTCCATGCTTTGGGCATCTGGGACCCTGGTTTCGTCTCCCCCAGTGTGGACTGTACCACCAAGTCCAAATACATGTACCCAAAGGCCCTCAAAATGTGGGACGGAGCTGGGGCAGGGAATGAAGGAAGGCAGGGCTCAGCTCCTTGTTCTAGTGCAGAAGCCAAGGAATCCAAGAATCCTAAACTCAAACCTGGCCTTCCTTATCCAAGTGGAAGGGCAAAATACACATCATTTCTAGGCCAGTTTTTAACTTTGCATTATTTAGACATGATACCTGGGCATCCACTAACACTTTTGTCCGGGCCCCACAAATGTCAGGAACGGGCCTGGATGTAAGCGTTTCATGTGCCTGCAGGTGCCTGCTCTCCCCTGAGACTCTTCAACTGTATTTCCACTCCCCTCCATTTTTTGCATTTTTGCTCTTGGTCTTTGTTTGTTTGTTTGTTTGTTCTTCTTTGAGTTCATTTATTTGATTTAGATTCGTGTCTCCCAACATGCCACCTCCCTCATTTTTTATTTTTGTTTATTTTTGTTTAATCCCCATCATTCCTTTAGGCTCCCACCTCCACCAGTGCCACTATTTCCTTAGCCAATCCCGAAGTCTCCATACTAAACTACCAATCTGCACTCTACCAGCCCTCAGCGGCGTCCATGGCCGCAGTGGCCCAGCGGAGCATGCCCCTGCAGACGGGAACAGCCCAGATTTGCGCCCGGCCTGACCCCTTCCAGCAAGCGCTCATCGTCTGTCCGCCTGGCTTCCAAGGTAAGGGTGAGCAGACGCGGCCGCTCACCGGCTTCAGATGGGACAGCCTCTGGGGCACCAGCCCCCGCACTTTTCTCTCCTGACGGCTTCCCTGGGATAAAGCCCTCTCCATTTCTTTCCGGGAGAGCACCGGCATCACTGAACTTGAGGGCCCCATCCTGCGGAAGCCAGCCTAGGAAAGGTGGGCTTTAGGCTTCAGCACCGAGTCAGTTCCTTGTCATTCTCACCACCTGCCTGCGGTTCTGTCCTGGGCCTGCTGTTTGTAAATCAGCCATTGTCTGTGCGCCCATTGTGATGCCGATGCCAGAGCTTCATTTCCTCATGGGAAGCACCCTCTGTGTGGATTATCTGTAGAAATTTGCCAGTCTCTGCCAGCCAGTGACACCCCAGCTCTCATGGAGAATACGAATCTGTCTGAAAAGTCCCTCCCAGCCGCCCTCTCCCCACCCAGTGATTCTTTGGCCCTGCACCCCGGCACTCCTGAAAACTCTAAGCTAGACTTGGTTACAGTTTACACAGAAAGCTCACGAACTTGTTTCAGAACACCCCGTGGTGGAAGTCTGTGTGGTGGTTCGGTCTGAATCAGTGCAATTCCAGCCGCTTCGCTCGCTCTCCCCGAGACCCCAGGCTTTGCCGTTTACAAATCCATCTTCACAGCAGAAGCAGCAGTGTTCCTGCTGAAGCTGGGCAGCGTAACTGTTCCACTTTTGGCTTTACAGAGTCCTTAATTTGACCTTCTAGTCTTTGAAAACATTCAAGGTGGTTTTTTGTGTTTTTTTTTTTTAATTTTAAGTTAGAAACTAAGAGGGAGGCTTCCAAAGGCCCAGACACTGGTGGGTGTGGTGGGAAGGGAAGCTGGGAGCGGGCACGGCTGGTGGGGAGGGTTGATTCCAGCCTCTCAACCCTCTCTCCCTTGCCTGCTGTCTGGACTAGGGTTGCAGGCCTCGCCCTCTAAGCATGCTGGCTATTCTGTGCGAATGGAAAATGCAGTCCCCATCGTCACTCAAGCCCCAGGAGCTCAGCCTCTTCAGATCCAACCAGGTCTGCTGGCCCAGGTAATTCTTTATTGTTACTAGTATCACTGTTACCCACATTAATGTTGTTCACAAACAAGATCTCTCTCTGCTAATTCCCTCCCTGGCAATAAGTTAGATGCTTCAAGTCATTAGGACATGTCAGTAATACTCTGAATGATCCCCAGGTGAATTACCTCCCTAAGTATCTAGTTTACAATTCCAAAAAGAAATTTAGACGCAGGGAGAGTCTGGGGAAATTATCACCATTGTATCTTTGTAATGCAAATTAATATGGGAGACCTAGGTTTTAATCCTAACTCTGCTAGTAACTCTGTGACCGAAGGCAAATCAGTTAGCATTTTTGCCTGAAATTTCTTTCTTGTGAAATAGAAATTATTTTTTTTTAAGCCAAAAAGAGCCTTGGAGATTATCTCTTTATTTTATAGCTGAAAACCAGGATCACAGAAACTTTGGGCTGGAACCTTCCTCATCTGTTCCCATAGGTACCCTGGTGGATTCTTGGAATGAGATCACAGAGGTGAAAGTGGCTGAAAATTTGTAAAGTGTTGTGGGAATTTTAGGTCGCATAGTAATGTAATGATAATAGTCATCAATCCTTAAGGTCACTGGCACCTTAATAACAAACACACGAACATGCCGGGCACTTTAGAGTTGTTATTGATTTAATCCCCACAGCATAGTGAGGTATTTGTCTCCTTTTGACAAATAGGGGAAATGAGACACAATCATTGGCTCAAAGTCACACAGCAATTAGGTGACAGAACCAGAACACAAACCCAAGAAGTCTGACACCTGCCCCTGTGTTTTAACCACCATGTTATACTGTTTCTTTATAATCAGGTCTTCTGTTGGGCATCAAGGACAGCTTGACCTAATGTTGTTAGTTCAGAAGCACCTTTGTTTTTAAGTAAAGTTGGTTCCCAAAGGCTTTTCTCTAAGTGTTCCCGAAGACGCTTTATTGATGGTGTCTTTTGTTGAACAGAAGTTTAGGGTTTTCATTTTAATGTAGTCAAGTTGCATATATCTGTTTGGGACACTCTCTATTCTATTTAATTGGCTTCACTAATATCCTTTTGTCTTAAGTAGTATCATTTTAATGTATATTTTGGTATCTGGAAAAGCCTTGCTCCTATATTGTCCTTAAAGTTTCCCAGTCTGTTCTTGTCCCTTCATTCTTCCACGTGAATTTTAACATCACTCTTAATAAGAATTTTGCTTCCAAAACAAGCCAAAAACCCCCCAAAACCTTGGTTTGTATTTATTGGACTTGCATTGGATTTACATTAACTTTGGGAAAATTGACGCCTTTATAATGTTAAGTCATTTCATCCCTGAAAATGATTTAACTGTGTATAAATTCCTTTTATTCCTTTCACTAAAGTTTTCCTTTGTTAGAATCATTCCTAAATATTTTACAGTTTTGTTATTAATAATTTTATTAACTATATTTTCTAATTATTTGTCTTCAGTTTATAGAAATATAACCAATTTTGCTCTATTGAGTTTGTAATCTAGAAATCCTTCCAAACTCAGATGAGTTCTGTTCCTGTGAATTCCCTTGGATTTTCTATGTGGACTATCTTTTTTATTTACAAATGATACAGTTTTGTTTCTTCCTTTCCAATCTTTGTAACTTTTATCTACTATTCTTATATCATTGTGCTGACCTCCAAAACAGTGTCTAATAACAGTGTTGATATTGGGCATCCTTAACTTGAACCTAACTTTAAAGGAAATTCTTCTAGCTGCTTGCTGTTAGGTATTTTATGTACTATAAATAGTTGATAGAGATAGTTTATCAAATTTGCTGATTTTTAAGTGAATATTAAATTGTATCAAATATTCTTTCAGCATCTGTTGAAATATTCATGTGTTTTTGTTCCTTAGTCTGTTAATACAGCAAGTTACTGAATAGATTTTGAAATGTTAAACTATCCTTGTGTTTCCAAGGCAAACTGTGATTATGTTGTGCTTGATGTGTTTGCATGCTTTTCAGTTCTCGATTGTTTGTGAATACCATAGTTAGTATTTTTGCATACATTCATAAGTGAGAAATGGCATGAATTTCTCTTTCTTATAGAATCTTTATCTGCTTTGTGCATCAAGATCATCCTAGTCTCATAAGACATGCTGGATATTGTTGTCTTCTGTTTTCTGGAACAGCTTGTTTGAGACTGATATTAATGATTCTTCATCTCTTTGTTCTTACATCCAAATTGAGACTGTAAGTGACGACTCATGCCAGGTCCTGGTGGCACACAAAGTTCTGTATTGCTGACAGTTTGCAGAGAGCCTCCTGGATGTAGAGCAGGCCTTCTACTCCTCACTCTCTTGCTGGTTCTCATAGCTCCCTTTTGTCTGCACCGTTGGACAGTGGGGAGTTCAGAAAAGGCCCTAGTAGATCAAGAGAACCACAGCTCAGCGCAGGGTCAAAGCAGCTTGTTCATGCTTTATCTGACTGGCAGAAATCCAGGCCAGTCTCCCAGTGCTTCTCCTCCGCGAGCCAAACCTCTAGAATCCATATGTACTTTAAAGGGTACTTACACAGCCTTTTTTGCAGCTGCACACTTAACCCTCGTTAAGTTAGGGACCATCTCTGAAAGAAATCATAATTAGCATCTCTTCCTAGCTAAAACTGACATTCTTCATTGTTCAGTTTGGAAACCAACAGGCTCAGCATTTCTGAATTTGTTTCAGCCCTTTCATCATAGCAGGGAAGGGCTTCACCTATCGTGTACTTGAAAAGGAGTTCCTAGACTGCTGTAAATCTCCAAGTGGATTTAACTTGAAACTCTAAGTGAGAAAGTGAGCAAAAAATTCACGTGCACCGGATTTTAATTGCTCCAGTGTTTATAACAGGGAACTGCTTGAAGCAATTTGAATGTTCATCAGTAGGGGATTTGTTAAATAAATTGATATGTGCATAAAACAGAGCACCATGTAGCCATTAAAAAGACATGGTAGGCCAAAAATGCCTTGACATGCAGAGATCCCTAAGAGATATTAAATTTAAATAAAAAAAAAACCTGTCCTGTCCTTTCTGGTATCACTGTATCTTTTAGTTTGTCAGATGCTTTGATTTTTCTGTTTGTCACTTAATCCACGCCAATATGTTAGTCTCTTAAGGTGGAGTTCTTGCCTAGATATTTTGTTAACCATCCCTTCAAAGGATAAAAATAAGCTAACTTATAAAACTAGCTTGGCAGCTATTTAAAAAAAAAAGGCAGTAACTAAACATTGAAACTGATGCCTTCATTTTTCTTGGGGTAAATTTCTAGGTACCAGGCAGAGGCACTCCAAATATTATTACTTTAAATGTATCCCAAAAGTCAACATATTTCTTTTGATCCAAATAGTTAAACCTTATCAAGGAGTTCATTCGTGCAAATTTAGAGATGGAGTCTTTTGAATCCATCCCTCATGTTAGCTTTGTTTGCTCTGCACCTTTCCTCCCCACCTCCCAGCAGCATCATGTCCCTCAAAGGGAAACAGTCTCTCTGGGGCACCCTGAAGATGAGTCTGTGGAAGAAGAGGGGGTAATGACACCTTCTCATTCAGGGACACGAGGGTGATCTGACGGATTGCCTTACCAGTAACACTTTTTTGGTACTGCCCAAAAGGAGCTGTCGCCTCTGTCCAGAGCCCCAGCCCAGAGCTAGCATCTTGACCACCGTCAGACAGGAAGTACATTTCTTTATTGATACACTATTGAATTTATCTCACTTTCCAAATGGCAGGATCCAAAACCTCCTTTGACCATTCAGAGCCCCCTAGAATATGGAGATTTCTGTTTGCCAGATCCTTATAGACTCTGCCCTGCCATAAAGAAGTTTTTGGCGTTTTTCTAGCCAATCAACTCGTATCACCTGAACCCCCTTTAATGTTTACTTCAGAATAAACCAGTGGCTTGAACTCTTTAAACTGTCCAACATATAAAACTTCAATGCTTCTCAAAAACTTCTCTGGTAATTTTCAGCAACCAGTCTTTCCAGCCATTCTGTCTTGCTGTCCTCTTCAGTCCCGATTCTGTTAATGAGTAAGGAAGACTTTTTCATACCACATTTATGCAGTTACCACCAACACCTGATCCTGAATAGGGCCATTATTTTTGTACCTCGTCTCCGTAAAGAGAGGTAGGTGGTATACTGGCAGAGAGCATGGGCCCTGGAATTCCATCGCCCATGTTCAGATGCCAGCCCCACCACTTATTGGCTGTATGACCTTGGGGAAGTTATTTTTTAATTTAAATTTAATTCTTCAAAGTAGTACATGCATTTAATTTTTACAGTTAAATGCCACCACAAATTTCTAAGAAAACAGTAGTCTCCTGCTCTGTCCCACTCCCAATTTCTACTCCCCCAAAACAGTAATTTTTACCTGTTTCATTTTGTTATTTAACTTCATGTTTCTAAAGAACATGCTTAAACTGCTTGTTGCTGACGATGTTAGGTATCAGTTGACCTCCTGCTGTGAAGGATGAAGGCTTAGCCCTCTAATGCCTCCGTCCCCGAAGCACACAAGCACACTCACGTGCTCACTCTGTTCCTCTCTCACTTACTCTTCCTTTCTCCCTTCCCTCCTGTGTATTTTTTTTTGATTCAACCACTTTGTATTGTTTACATAATTATTATCATCAATATTGTATCATAGGATTCCCAGCTGAGCCTCATAATATACTATGATTCTATTTCCTTTCCTGTACAACTTGTTTTTCTTGAAATTAATGGTTGTCTCATTTTTCCATTGGGTTAGTTTCCTCTGTATCTCTTATGATGCAGCCCCAAACTCTTCCAGAGCCCTAAAAGGTATACGTGTTTGATGTGTTGATGTGTTTGAGCATCTTGCAAAGTTCAGGGGCTGTTATTTTTCTTTCTTTCTGAAAGCTTTTTAGACTCTCCTTGTCCACGGTGGTCTGAGATTTCACGACTACCTGCTTTCTTGTCTTTCAGAGTGCATTGTCCTGGACACCCAATTTGCCCTTTTTATCTGAAATTTTTTCTTTTGTTTTTTTCCTTTGTGAATTTCTTCCACCTCCATTTTCTGTGCTCCTTCTCTGTGGAATTCTTATTAATTGGGTGCTGGTACTTCTGAATTGATCTACTGATTTCGTATCTTCCCCCTCCCCCATCCTCTCTCTATTTATTCTTTGCTACATTCTAAGATTTTCTCAACTTTATGTAATTGTTAATTTCTGTTGTCATAGTTCTCATTTCCAAGAGTTCTTTCTTGTTCTCTGAATATAGACATACAGTCTTACATATGACCTTGTTTCATGGATATAGATATATATTTTAACTCTCTGACATTAATTACAAATTTTTGGAAAATTTTCTTCTGATTCCTACACTGTTGTTGTTTCCTCTGAATTTCATTTGTTTTAGTCTCTTTCGTGTTAGATGCTTCCTTTAAAATCTGGCGATCCTTGGCTGTTCATTCATATTTAGACTGAAGCACTGAAAAACTAATTGGAAAGCTTCAGAGTGGGAGACAGGATTGTTGAATGTGGGCTTCTCTGTAGGCTGATAAGGAGTAAGCTCAGCATTTTCACAGGCAAATCCCCTCTCCTCAAACGTGTCTGTCGCTTTTTCTCTTGGAATAGTTGGTTTCTCTAGAGAGAATCCTCCAGGCTCCTGCTCTGAGATGGAGGGGCAGAGGTGGGGAGAGTATAATCCTGCGTACCAGGAATCTGGGAAGAGGGAGGTGAAGGACTCTCACTGTTTAACATGCAGACTTGACCTCAGATTCCTTCATTCTGCTAACTCAGTAATTGCCCTTCTGTTTTCCAGCTTCTAAAATTGGGTTAACTGTTACTGTCACTCCCTGTTCTCTCTTTCTGTCCTAATGGATCTGTATATTTTTTCATTCCTTCACTGTCATTTTAGCTGGGCTTAAAGAGAGCAAGCAGTAAATGTATATGTTTAATTTACCGTATTTCTGAAGTCATTTAACTTCTCTGTGTTTCAGTTTGTTCCTTTGAGAAATGGGAGGGGGAAATAGTCTCTGCTTCACAGGATTGATGTTAAGATGAAGTCAGAAAGTCTATTTGTGGTCTTAGCTCTATGGTTGGCGCACAGTATGCATCCAGAAATATTAGCTCTAATTTTATAAATTATAAAGTAGTAATAATCTACAGAAGTATCTGATGAAGTGTTGTCTCAAATGAGTTAAACATATAAATCAGTGATAGAGGTCCAAACATACCCTTTGACCCCGCCTGTCTAAGGTAAAATGTTAATATCTGTTTTAGGGAAATAGGAGAAAAACAATGTTTTTAGCGTCATATCAAGATTTATTGTTTTTAAATGACTTTAGTCAAAACACATGATTTTCATGAGACCTGAAGTAAGTTCCAGACAAAATCAGTAAAAATCTTACTGCCAATAAAATTGTTATTCATTTAAACTTTTGGGCTCATAACTGTTTTAATCAATTATTTTTCTGCTTACTGTTGAATTCAGCAAACCTTAAATACACTTAAGTAGAGTTAATTGCCTTGGTAGAACTGCCTCTTTCATTTTACCAACAAACATTTATTTAGTAAGCACTTACTGTATAACCTGTGGCCCCTGAGCTTTCTACCTATATCAAAAAAGACCAATAAGCAAACAGGCAATATCCAAAAAGTATGAGGTCTCACTGGCCCTCATCTGCAACACGAGAAGGATGGAGCAGGTGTGCCGTCCACTCAGAGCTACACATGGCTCACTCGTGTTTATACGTATCATTGTTTATTAAGCCTCGACTCAAATTTGTTATCCATTTCCAGAAGCGCTTGTTTGTACGTATGATTCAAAACACGTATATTAAACATGTGCACAGTTGGTGGAGTACCGTGTTGTATAAATTACCCAGTGTCAGTCATATCCAGCCTGATGGAAAGAGAGCGGTAACTAAGATCCCAAACCTTTAAATCCTTGACCTGCCCAGGAGGTATCTTGTCTTAGTGGGGTCCCTTTAAGTGTCCAACTTTGGACAACTGTGTTCAGTGTGAATCATTTGATAATCAAAGACAAGCAGAGTAGTGACTGAAGGCACAGAGCTGAGAACACAACACGTGCGTGCAGGCATGCACACCTGTAAGTCTTTATGTCTACTCAAGGAGGAATCTGGCAAGATTTTTCTAGACTTCTTAGAAAAAGCTTAGTATTTATGAAGAATCCAGCTGTGACTTCCTAACTGTCTGGTTTTTGCTTTGAGGGGTCGAGGTAATTCCCAATTAAGCTTAAGGTCCCAGCTAAGAATTTGACTTCACACTTGCTTCCCCTCAGATACAGGCAAGTATCAGATATTTGGTAGTCTCGGGATTATGTTTATTTAGATTCAGAAGATAACACAGGTTGGACCTCTAGATTCTAACTGATAAACAAAAGGTAAAAAATTGAATAAGGGGTGCTAGACAGGAAAGTTCTTGAGGGCAAGGAGTTGCCCTTGTACAGCCCAATTCAACTGCCTCAATCTCTTGCACAAAACTGTGTGACAGAGTAAGTCAGTAAATGAACTTTTGGAAACTTTGAGCATTATTCATTAGAGCATATTTATAAAGAAATCATGCTTCAGTGTGAATGAACCCCTTCCATACAGTTCTCTGCCCATGTACGTATTACCTTCTGTTTACTTCATATGTCAGTTTTATCCCCCCTGGTTTTTGAGGTCAAAGGGCAGGTCTCCGCTTTCTCACCTAGCACAGGATCTAGCACAACCCTGGGCGCAGAATGAGTGCTTGACTCGTACAGGTTGATTAGATGATGAACAGACATGATGAGAGCAAATGTCCTCTGTTCTACAGCAGGCCTGGCCAAGTGGGACCCAGCAGATCCTGCTCCCCCCAGCGTGGCAGCAGCTGACTGGAGTGGCCACCCACACGTCGGTGCAGCACGCAACTGTGATTCCCGAGACCATGGCAAGCACCCAGCAGCTGGCCGACTGGAGGTAAGTGAGGCAACTGGCGTGTCTGGGACGGGAGATGTGTCCACTGCCGACCCAGAGAGCTGTCCCGCTGGCCTGTACCTGAGTCCCCAGCTTTGCAGAGGGCTTTTTCAATTACAAAGAGTATTATGTGGACTAAGACTACAGTGTCATCAGAGGTGACTTTTAAATAAATGTACCAGGACATAAGAAAATCAGCTTTATTACTCTATGGTCAGGTGTCATTTTCCACCAAAAATTCAGTCACATTATTTGATCAGTTAATTCACCAGACTTGGCTTGGGATGATTTTTGGTTATTTCTCAGAATTAAATTCCACTCCCAGAAAGTCAGCAGTGAAAGGATGCAGAAGAGCGTCCCTGAGGCCCCTAAGCAAGTCTAGAAAGTGTTCTCAAGGTGTTTGGAGACACAGGCACACTGGAGTCATGTCAGACCTCCCAGGGGAAGGCCTGACAGAAAGGGGTTTACTTGGAATAGTAAACTCTGGGATGTTTGTTGAGTGTGTCTCTTCAGTTGACAGTCAGTTCTCGGAGAGCAAAGGCTACCTTTCACAGACCTCAGAGGCACCCAGTTGACAGCCACCAGCACGCCACCCCCACTCCACATCTGTTTCCAGAACCCCCACCCCATCCCACTCACCAGCTTCCTCACCGGCACGCTGCTCTGTTGTTTTTATGGCCACTTTCCCCTTTTCCTTGTAGCTCCCACCCACCCCATCCGAACACCACCACAGTGCCCCGTTTCACCAGTGCAAGAGCCGAATGGCAGCCCCCCAAGTTGTCCCCAACTTCCCACGCCTCCCTGGGCTGTTTCTCTTTCAGCCCAAACACTGGGGCAGGTCACAGCCCTCACTTCTCACAGTATCTAGACCAACCACGGAGCCTCCCTACGGCCCCTTTTTTGACCCGAAAGGCTGTTGGGAGTGAAGAGCTCTCCAAAAAAGGTAGAGGGGGAGAGAAAGGCCCCCAGTCAAGTCTCAACTGCAGCGTCCTCTGCTCTGCCATTTCATTTTCTGACCAGTAAAAAGAAAAGAGGAACACAGGCTGCTTCCCACAGCCCCACTCACTTCCCACCGGCAACACCCTCTTCCCCCACCCACCCCCACCCATTGGAGGCACCTTCACACCAGGTGAAGCTGGGTTCCATCCTTGCCTGACCTGGGGCAGCATACCTGACCTGTATGAACCTCGGTTCTTCTTCAGTACAGTGGGGATGACAGTGGCCAGTCATAGATTGCTGGGAGGGTTAAACTAAGAGGAAGGACAAAGCAGCTGGACCGTATTTAACATGTACCATTCTTGCACCTGGTACCTGACAGGCAGTAAATAAATCTGCTCCCTTCCCTTCCCCCAGTTCGCACTGGTCGTGCTCAGCAATATCACCTTCCGTCTCCCGCTCATTAGGAACAGCAACCAAGTGGAAAGCTGTTTGACCAGCTGGGGTTTTTTTCTCACCGCTTTTTCTCCTAAAAGACCACAGATATGCTGTACTTCTTTCTCTCAGCATTTATAGCTCATTTAATTCCAGCAGTACTCACGCATTCATGCCTCTTTTCTTCTTCCTCATCCCTCCTCATCTCTTCCCTGGTAACCACAGAAGATACCTAAAGCCAGCACACTTTTTTTCCAGTCTCTCCTCCATCTCGTGTGTAGCCCAAAGGATATCCATAGTCATGGCTAATACACAAAAGAGAAGTACCAGTGCTAGACCTGTATCAAAAGAAAAAGAATGCCATGTCTGTAGAAGAAATAGCAACAAAGAAGCCATAACATCAGTTTCTAAAGTCCATGTAAATATCCAAAAGACTATCAAAATCTCTACAAAAGTCTCCCCCTCCTTCTTTTTACTCTATTCATCCTTTTCTCTAAGCTATAAAGATAAACTTCATAACATTTAAAAAATTCAGACAAATTCTCCTATAGCTTTTCATTTTATTCTGTAGCAAATGAGCTTTCATGAGCAATTCTCTTAATTAATCCCCACTTGTAGTATTTCTGTGGGAAAACAAGCCTTTGAGCGCCATCTAACCCAGATCCCATAGAACCCATTTTCAGGATAATGGTTGCCAGTGTTTCTATCAACGTACGTCTGACTTAATTAATTTTAATTTAATACCCAACTCTATACATGTCTAGTCAACCTTCAGTTCATCTGATTGTTCATTCAGGAAGCATGTAATTCACTGATCAGCTGCTACATGCCTGAGCATTCTGCTGGCCTGCGAGAGAATTCTAAAAAATGTTAACACTTCCTAATGCCAGAAACATAATGACTCTCAGTCTTCAAAGTTTGTTATTCACATAAACTACAATATCCTTACTTATAAAATGGCATTATTAAGATATCCTGCCTACCTCACAGAGTGGAAGAGCCCACTGAAGGCACTTTGTAAATTCTAAAATAAAATGCACAGCACAGTCACCTGTTTAGGGACTTTAAAAGCTGGAGGGAGTATGTATTTCCTCTTCCCCGGAACATAAGCTGAGCCTGCCTTGTTGGTATTCTCCCACCTGAAATGCCCTCTTTCTCACTCCCCAACAAATCGTGTCCCTGCCACCCCTTCAGAACAGCGCTTAAGCGTCACTGCATCTGGGAAACTCACCTGAGGAAGCCGCCTGCGGAGGCTTCTCTCTTCAACAACTCCCCGGGTAGTGAGACAACCACCTTTTGGGTTTAATTTGGCTTTTACTTGGGGAGGGAACTTTATCTGATAAAGAAGCTCTGTTTCTATAAAACCGGTAAAGAGGCCGTTTTCCCATCTCCCTTTCAGGAACACGCATGCTCACGGCAGCCATTACAATCCCATCATGCAGCAGCCGGCGCTATTGACTGGTCATGTGACCCTTCCAGCAGCTCAGCCCTTAAATGTGGGCGTGGCCCACGTGATGCGGCAGCAACCAACCAGCACCACCTCCTCCCGGAAGAGTAAGCAGCACCAGTCCTCTGCCAGGTAGGTGGTCAAGGTGGCTTCAGAGGTGAGAAACCTCAGGGGATGGGAAGTAGAAGAAACCTCCTAGCATTAGGGAGCATCAGGTTGCAGATAGCACCAGGCTTTGAAGGAGGCACCCATTCTGAGGTCTGTGTGAGTGGGTGCCCGCTCTGCCAGCACCGCCAGTGCCCTAAGGGTAGGGGCCTGGGATCACAGTGCTCAGTGCCTGGGCCTTGAGCCGTTCTGTCCCCTTACGCTTCTCTAGACTTAAACACTCAGACTGACCTCTGAAGTTGCTTTTTCAAAACCATAACTTTAAAAAAAAAAAACAGTAGAGAAATGTGCTGTCTTTGAAATCTAAGTTCAGAAATTTAGCTGCTTGATATAAGCAATACTTTTGGTTAATCCCAGACCCTAACCAGCAGAACAATAATCTTTCCCATTCTCTTTAAATACAGTTTCATCTCCATGAATTCTTGAAAATTAAGATTGACAAAAGGCCATGTGCTGTATGATTCCATTTATATGGTATTCTGGAAAAGGCAAAGCTGTAGGGACAGATCAGATCAGGAGCTGCCAGGGCTTAGGGTGGAGAGGAGGAGATTGGCAAGGAAAGAGCATAAGGGAATTTTTCAAGGTGATGAACAAGTTCTCGATCTGGGGGTTACATGACTGTATGTTTGTTGAAACTCATCAAACATTTCAAAAGGGTGACTTAACACTGTATGTAAATTATACCTTAATAAACCTGACTTCAAAAACAGAGATTTCCAAACAAACAAAATGCAGATCGAGATTGTGTGGCTACAGAATTGTTCCTACATCTCTCTCCAGTGGCTCTGGCTTGGAGGAACCTAATTGCTTATTTGGAATAGACTCATCAAGAGAAGTCTAGTATTTCATATAGTGTAGTGAATTTTGGGTTTCTCCTTCCTCAGATAACAAGATGCCAGAAACTAGGCCTGCCTTTTTCATTCTTTTTCATTTGAAAACTGGTCCAAGAGCTGGCTTCCCTAAGTTGTCATCCTTCTTAAACAAGATTCTTATTTATGTGTTTCTGACAACTTAGGGAAATTCATGTCAATCAGTGGTGTCCTTCCAGAGTTTGTCTGGAGGCCCTACGACAGCGCACCCATGTCATTGTTACACTGAGTGACAATAGAGGCCACTGTCATGTGCTGTCATGCTCAGCCTGGTGGGTGGTCACAAGGAACCCTGGTCTGGCCCAGGAGGCTGAGCTTAGCCTCCTTGTGGCTCATCTTGGCCAAGTAGGGACAGGAAGAACCCTTAGCCTCCAACCTATTGGCAGGTTCCTCTTTGTTGCCTCCTCACCACCCAGCTGGCTTTAGTAGAAGGCTTACTGCCAGTGCATTTCAGATGAGTATGACTAAAGTGAAAGTTGTGTGTTTGTCTATTTTTAAGACCAATGCCTTAGGCAAAACAGTTGGAAAAACCAGAAGGCTCTCCCCTGTCAGGTAGTGCCTTCAGGCATACTTTTCTTCAACAGTGCCAAGTGGAGGTATTTTAACTGCTGCAGTAATGAAAACGTAATCTTAAAATTTTGACAATTAAACATAGTTCTATGGTAAATTCAATGGAAGAACCTTATCAGTAAAACTTCTTATTCCAAACCCCCAAAAAGGAACAAGCAACGTATTTGATACCAACTAAATAGAAAGTTAAATAAATCCACCATTACAGAATTATTTTCATCTGACTGCCATCCTTTTAGCTAGAAGGTGCTAGAAACTCTAAGGACATATCATAGTCTTAAATTTCACTACAGGCTGGCTTTAGTCTCACTGTGTAGATATGACTAAGGTGAGCAAGGGTTGATGGGGAGGGGAAAAGGTAAGGTGTTTTTTTCCCTCCAAAGTTATCCAAAACTACACTGGCTAATTTGATGTGAATTTCAAGTCAATCAAAATCAAGATTGAAAGATCCCTTTTTAAGCACCTCTTTTCCTCTTGTATTTTTTCCTGATTTTCTCTTTTCTGTTGAAACAGACTGGTAAGCTTCTTGTGAGGCTCATATGTCAAAATCCAGGGAAAAAAATTTTTTTAAATTGTACCCACATAGATACTTTTATGGGCATGTCCCTTTCCCAGAGGAAGAAGGAGAGAAAGCTAAACTTTAAGATCACCAACGTTAAAACGTTTAGATCGAAGAGCTCTTAAGCAATGAGTGTTTTAGTTTAATAAATGGTAAACCAGCCATTAGCAAGGACACTTAAGCTTTATGTGCAAATACCTTTTCCTCCACTTCCCTCCAAAACAAGATCTAAGTGTATTTGGGAGGATGACAGATTGAACTCAGGAAGTTGGGCCTTGACCCTGAAGACAGGGGACTGCACTGGAGCAGACACCCCTGAAGTCCCAGGCGTTCTCTCTGCCCCCGCACGAGCAGCCCATCCTCAGGCTCAGCCCTCCGCCCTCTCCTTGGAGCCCAGGCTTGTCCTCAGTCCTGCTAGGGGCAGGCCCAGGGAGCCAGACCAGAGCCCAGAGAAGGTCAGGCCGCTGCCCTCCCGCCCCATCTGTGTAGAGATAACAGAAGGAAAGAGCTCCCTGGGCGGCCACTTTTGCAGTCACACATCAAGTCTGAGTGCCCTGGCCCCCCTCTTTTTTGTGTGGAGACATGGCAAAGCTGGTGTTTCTAGACAGTTGGGCTCCTTGGAAGGAGCTGCTGGGCCCAGTCTTCTCTGTGAGTGCACGTGGCTTTGTCGTTCCAGAAACGTCTCCACCTGCGAGGTGTCCTCCTCTCAGGCCGTCAGCTCCCCTCAGCGGTCCAAGCGCGTCAAGGAGAACACGCCTCCGCGCTGCGCCCTGGTGCACAGCAGCCCGGCCTGCAGCTCCTCCGTCACGTGCGGCTGGGGCGACGGGGCCTCCAGCACCACCAGGGAGCGGCAGCGGCAGACCATCGTCATTCCCGACACCCCCAGCCCCACGGTCAGCGTCATCACCATCAGCAGCGACACGGACGAGGAGGAGGAGCAGAAGCACGCCCCCACCAGGTGAGGCTGTGCCACCTTCGGACTCCAGGAAGGAGCAGAGTGGGGGTGCGCCGTGTGTTTCCGGCTCACACAGAGACCGGTATCTGTGGATCTGGACCACTTTCCATCATCAAGCGTGATCACCCCTCTCTCCTGGCCCCTGAGTTCTGGCTTTGCCGTGTCCTGGAGTCCTAAAGTGATTTCAAGGGAATGCCAGATATTCCATAATCGTTGAAAGCCACAGTGATTTTGAGTCACTTTGGTCTTAAAAAATAGTTACAGGCCCTTGGAAGACTTGAGGCCATAAAAATAAGGCACACGGTGCCAGTGTATTTCTGCCCCCATATGCTTAAAAATCTCTGCCTCGGGCTATTGAATTTATTCCCAGTTGGTCAAGATTTTTTTTTAACATTGCCTTGGCTCTTTCAGAATTTGAAGTAATTATCCAATTAATCAGAAATTTCCCTTTGTCTGATTAACACAATCTTTCTAACTGCCAGTTGGCTCTTCACCAAGAGAGCATTACATTTATTCCAAAGTGGTAAGAACTTGTTTTACTCTCTGTGTGCTTCCTAGGGAAGGGGGAAGAAGTGTTTATTCTACCTGTGAGGCTGTTAACCCTGGCACCAGAGCAGGTGTGCTGTGGCCTGGGCTGTCTGATGGTCCCCTGGAACTTGCCCCTCCAGATCAGTCGGTCCCATAGTCTTTGGTATCCCCTGGTCTCGGGACCCTGTAGACCCAAAGTCTCACCACCCCAACCTGCTGGCTCTTCTCTGGGACTGAGGACCCGGAAAGGGAGGCCTGCCACCCCCAAGCCCCGCACTGCCAGTCAGCGCACATCCCATGACCGGATCCAAAGCTTAACATTAGCAATTAGGCCTGAATTATTAATTCCTGATTGGATACAGTGTCAGTAATTATAATCACATATCCTTTTGATTAGATAATAAATTCCTGCACTTGAAATCATTGCAAGATGTGCAGATAGACTGATTAACATTCTCACTACAGCTACTTCTGCATGGGGTACCCCCTTCCCGCCGTTACAGTGAACTCAGTGTTTTGGTTGTTTTTTTGTGTGATAGGGCTAGTGTATTTCTTATTCCAGTATTCTCTCTAATGGCTCAGCCCGGTCTTGAGTGTGTCTCAGAGAAGAATGTAATGGAGGACTTCTGGTCCTGGCCTTGGGCCGGGTGCCAGAGGAGCCACGGGGCTCGGGAGATCGGGTCCTGAACTGGCCTCAGTTTCCTTTTGGATCACACCTCCCAGTGGAGTCACTACCCTGTCCCTTCCAGTGCCTCATGCCTCCCCGTCCCTTCACAAAGAGAAAGGCTCCTCCCAGCCCACCCCCTGGCCTGGAACATCTTGTCCACACATTTGTAGCATCAGGACATAAGGACATACAACCTCCCACAGCCGTTTGCCACAACTGGAAGAAAGCAAAAGTGATTTTACAATCTGACAGTTGACTAGACAGGGCTGTCATTTTTGACATTTGAATCGACACAGAATCTCAACATAAGTGCTCAGGAGAGAACTGAAGAGAGCAGATCTGAGGAGAAGCAGGGAGAGAGCCATCTCCCCAGCAGCTGAGCCGCCGCCAGGGCTGAGAGCACAGGGCCGGTGCGCAGGCTGCTTCCCCGGTGGCCCCAGGGCCCAGGAAGAGGAGAACTCAAGTACTTGGCAGCGTGTGAGGACCTTGGCATAAGTGAGCCAAGACTTAGGGGAGGCAGGGCAGGAGCCTGTGTGAGCAACAGCCTCAAGTAGTGACAGTGGGCTCCCGAGGACCAGAGCTTCGTAAGATGGAAAACGCAGGGCCTGCCTGCCTGCCTGTCCGCCTGCCCATGATGATGAAGCGTCCCAGAGGCGGTCTGCCGCCTGGGGAAAGCTGCAGACGGAGGCCAGAGCGTAACCGAGGAGGCTGTCAGCTGTCCACGGCTCCAGTGGGAATCTCACAGGATGTGATAGTAGTGTTTTCTGGAGAAGTCAAATGACTGGGGCCTGAAAAAAATGTTTTAGGACCTAAGAAGCCAGGAAAGTGTATCTGAGTCTGAGTAGGATAAAGCAGAAACCAGTTTTATTTATTTATTTATAGAGAAACCACTGTGTAATGTGATCACATTATCGTGACTACATTTTGTAATGAGAAAAAAGACAGGGCAGGGGAAGCGATGTGATTACGCGTTCTTAGAAATCAGAATTATCATAAAATTTAACGCAGTAAATATTTATTGGCCCCATTGGTAAGATACTATGCTCGGAACTGCAGGTCCTACATAAATAAAGCCGACAGTCTGTGTCCTCGGGAGGTGTGTAGGGTAATAAGCAAAATAAGTCACATACAAATCATTACAACACAAAACAGAACATCAGTCCCCTAAAAACTGGCAGAGTCCTGTGGGGACTCCAAGGGAAAACAAGCTGTAGGAAATAGCAAGGGAGAGGGGGATTTTTAAGGGCAGAGTTCCCTCTGGGTGTGGACAACGGGTAGAGACAGGAAGACTGCAGAGTGCAGAGAGACAGGTGGTGGGGCCGAGCCTCAGAGGTGGGCAGATAGGGTCAGGAGCAGGGGGCGCGGCTGATCACAGAGAAGTGAGAGGCAAGGAAGACAGGGATTGCAGAGCGGAAAGGGGGATTTGAGCGTCTCCCCTTCTATGGGTGTGGTCAGCTTTGCTAAGAGATGCCGAGGAGCTCACAGGAAAGCTTCAGTCCCAGGAAAACAAGGACGCACCCCGGAGTGCAGCCCACTGTGGAGCCGCCCGGCCACCCTCCTGCCGGAAGCTTCCCGAGCCATCAGTGCTCCGGTCTGAACCCTGGAGACTTCCCTCCTTGTCCCTGATCATTCTTGTTCCCAGACCTGATGCTCTTCCTGCACTGTGAGCAAGTTGATTCTGACCTCCTGTGCTCCTGACCTCCTTTCCGATCTGCGGCTCACCCCCAGCGCTAGCCCTGCACCCCTGCCTGAAACACTGATAACGTCCCCTAACGGCACTCGGCCTCAGCACAGCAGCTGGAGAGTCGGGGCCGACCATGCTCACAGGACCAGTGAGCGTGTGGTCACTGGCAGTGCCTCCACCACCCGTGTCTTTTAGAGCTGACGTGAGACAAATAATGGTAAGCCCACATTTTTAGGCCTAATTAAGCATTACTAGAGCTCCAGGACCAGGAAACATTGCTTAGAGGTTTCAGAGAAATGCCAAAGCCAAATTATTATTCCTGACCCCCAATATGCGGCACTGTTCCTCGCCAGAGCAGATGGACGGTCAGCCGCTCCTCCTTGTAAGGAGCGTGACGGGCAGGCTGGAAGCCAGTGACTTAGAGAGGAAGGGAATCGTAATGAACGCTCCCCAGGCATTTTTACCTGCACTATCTTGGGCTCCATTTGATGGGGTGTATGGGGCCTGTCGTTCTAGTCCCATTTGATAGATGAGTAAACTGAGGCCAAGAAAGGTAAGTTACTCACCCAAATTGGCAAAAACAATTGATTTCTCTTCAGTCATTCATTTAACAAATGTAAATTCCACCCTCTGCCTCCTCTGGCCACCACCATCCCACACCCACGGTGACACCCAGTGTGTGCAGGGCACCCAGCCAGAGCAGCAGGATGTCCAGAGTGTGTTCCCGGAACCCTGACCGGGAGCAGACATCGGTCAGGGTGCTGGAGCTCCAGCAGCAGGAAGGGCAGCGGTCAGCTCTTCTCATCCTGTGATAAGATTTGAAAAAGTGAGGAGGCCAAGAAAGATGCTGGACTAGGAGGCTCTGTGGTTATGACTAGAGTTGGCCTAAAGATGGGGAAAAAATGATATTTTTCTGGGTCCCCCAGGATTAAGTAGTAGGACCAGCCTTATTTTAAATATATGTAAATGACTTTGATTAGAGGAGCATTTGACTGTCTACACATGCTGAATAAGCCATCTTTTCTCCCTTGAAATTCCTTGGAGGAAGTTTATGGGTGCACGTCTTTTTATCCAGACCCTTCTGCCAGCCTTGCCTTGTGCTGAAACAGTCTTTCGGAGGCTATGGGACGACATCAGATGGTCTTCTAAAGTGTGCATCCAGAGTTTCTCATGTCAGCTGATCAGCTAGAAATCATTTTGTCCAGTCTCCATTATTCATTCATTCGTTTGTTCATCCAGTTATCTGACTAATTCTGGTAGACAGGGTTTACTTGACTGAGGTCGTCAGGGCCCTGCTCTGTTCTGTGTCACTGTGCAAGTGCCAGCAGCTGCTCGGAGTGTCACAGCTGATGTTACCAAGATGTGAACTTCCACAGACGACTGAGTCATCAGCATCACTCGGTGTTTTAGACAGCCATCACTCTGAAAATGTATATGTAGAAAAATTGACCCCAAGAGTTCTTCTTTATCCTAAGTTGAAAATGTAGAGAAATTACCGTAGAAAAGGCGCAGTCAGGAAGCTGGTGGACTGCTGCTCAAAAGACTTTGGCTGGAAAAATTAACATCATTGAACAGAGGGGAAGTGCACACACCCGCTGAGGCCAGCATCGCGCTGTGCTGGTGGCATCAGAGTCATCCTGGAGGGAAGGAGTGAAGGAGCCCAACAGGCCGTGTCACTTGGAGGGCGTGTTGCTTTGGGGTGTTGCTGCAACGCACCCCACGGATGAACCGACTTCAGTCACACGACTCCTCTCAGGAGGTGGGAGGATGTGTTGCTGAGAGGGCTCCACCGCATCCTCTCTCCAGGGCTTCATTCAAAATCCTCAGTGTTTAAGAGGCTGCATTTTATGAAAAGGCTGCATTTGGAAGAAGAGACTGCACCTGCTGTCCCCAGCAGCCCGTCCTAACCCTTCAGCACATTACAGAGCCTTCGCTGATGCGTAGCCACTTCCTGGTGTCCTCCCTGCCTTCCTCCCAGCAGAGAGAGGGGGGCGGGAGTGGGCTGGAAAGCACGGGGCTGAGCGGAGCCCTGCGGACGGACCTAACGTGATGAGCAGAGGCTTGCGGCTGGAGTGCAGAGGAGGGCGCAGGGACAGCGAACGCCTGCTGCCGTGTGTGGTGGGT